CAAAAAAAAAAAAAAAAGTGTGTAAAGATATTTCAAGGGGCTGAGGTGGAATGGGGACTGCCTGCTCCTGGCTGCCTTGCACCCCTCTGCTTCCCCTCCAGCCTTTTTCACCACTTTTTTTTGGTTTTTTTTTTCCTTTTTTCCCCCAAATCTCCCTCCTCCTCCCAAAAGAAACTTCCTCCTCAACCAGTTTGTAAATAAAACTACGCCTCCGTAGTCTGGAAGAAAAGGTGGAGCCATATTGAAGCAAGATAGCTCTTTTTTTTTTTTTTTTTGTCATCTTGAGGGTGGTTTTTTTCTTTTTTTCTTCAGCAAACAGTGGTGGTGTCACCTTGTGCTCTATCGGGGTGACGGGAATGTCTCAGCCAGCCCGTGACGGACCCCAGGTTGAGTCCCCCGCTACCCAAACTTGCCGCAGCCCCTCGGCGCTGTTCTGGAAACAACCTTTGGCTTCTATTCCTGTAATCTCTCCTTTTGCCGTCGAGGTTTTTACGTGCCGTGAAAAGCCGAGTTGCCCCGTCCTTTGGTGGTCGGTCGGTGACCCTCGGTGCCGAATTTTTCCTGACCCCCCCCGGGTTGGTTTGACGGATGCAGAAGGATGCTGGCGCGGGGTCAGGCTGGAGCGGAGCTTTGCCGTCGGCCTGGTAGGACACGGGCTCGTCCTCCTGCCTCCGCCGTGCCCGTGGTTGAACCCCAACCCATCTCTCTCTTCTTCACGTGTCTGCCCGTCCCTTAACGCGTGCCGGGGAGATGGGGTTCCCCATCCCATCCCCGCCTGGTGGGTGTCATCCATCGGCAGGGACCCTCCTCGCAGACCATCGGGAGGGCTGGGAGGTGTTTGACAATTTTCTGGGGGTTTTTTTTTTTTTCCTTTTTTTTCTCTCGTCCAAGTTCTGCTGGCACTTTAGCAGGGGTGTTCGCAGCATGAGAAATGGCCATGACTTTACTGCCTGTGTTTGGTACCTATCGTGTGATACTTGAAGAGATCAGGGGTGTTTTGCCCTTTGTTTGAGTCAGCTCTTTCTTCTTTTTTTTTTTTTTCCCCTCTCCTCTTTTTCTTGCGTTGTTGATGTAGTGGGCACATCTGCCACCCTGACAAAACGCCTCTTCTCTAAGAGTATAACTTCTCCAATAGTTGTGTATAATTAAAGAACTGTAAACTTTTTTTAAAATAAAATATGTACATACCTTGAAGCTTGGCTGGTGCTTGATCGCCGAGAGCTTGGTCTTGCAGGAAAGATCCTGGAACCTTGTGGTGTTGCCTCTGCATCCCACCGGGACTTCACCCGTGGCCCATCTGTGCCAGATCAAAGCTGCTCCAGGGCATCTTCTGCCTGGAGACGATCTCCTGGAGGTGGAAGCAGAGGTTGTCGCACACACCCAACGTGCTGATGGTAGAGCTCGGGGTGGCCAGCTCCTTCTCCGGTTATTTGGAAGCGGCTGGGTGGTGTCCTTCCATGGCTGGTGACCGTGGCCAGGGCACTAAAGCTGATTTTTAGAGTCTTGGGCTGGAAATGAGGGATGAGTGCCTGGCCATCCCTCCCTCCCTGTCCCTCCACCTGTGCAGCCTCACAGGTGGATTTTTTTTTTTTCAAGGTCTCTTCTTGCAGCAGGACAAGTCATCGCAGGCAACGCTGCCTGAGGTGTGGGAGCCGCTTGGTGTCCTGGGCCTGTGACGATGGCAGAGGTGGCTGTTTTCTGTACAGTCACACCTAATGTTTGGCTTGATGTGACACGGGGATCAGGGTAACGTATACAGGGGATGTCCCCGGGCGTGGGAG